GGCATGGACTAAAGGACATTAATGTGAAGCTGGTTGCAAATAGTCCTGAGCCAGCACTTTGGCTTTGGAACCCTCCAGGAGTAATGACTGTTAGATGGTACTGACACAGTACATTAAGAAGCCCAGATAAATGTTATAACCTGTGAAATCCCTCTTTTGTACCTGCTGTACCCCGCCGACTGGGAAAAGTTTCCTGCTCATTGATGTGTTTCCTGTCACCACATTTAGCCAGCTGCCTCCTCTTAGTGTTCGCTGTGTCACTAGAAGATGAATTGATCGCACAAGAAGAAAAGCTTTATGCATTCGAAACTGGATTATGAACTCAGTTTGGATAGAAAATGAAAACAAACCAAAGAACAATACCACCAACAATAAAAAATAAACAACAACAAAAAATACTGTCATTATTGAATAACAGTAAAAGGTTGTAAAAGAATTCCAAGTTTATAGATTGTATTTTCTTGTTGGTTAAATTTCTGTGGACTTATTTTTCTTTCCCATGATTAATTTTTGCTATGCTCACAGTCTATGGACCAATGCATTATTTATGACTTTTTTTTTGGTAGATTCTTAAAAATAACGTCAAAGTCTTTCCTTTTCAGAAAACTTTGTGTGCTTCTACTGCCCAGTTTGTGTTAATATAAGCAGATCTTATATTGTATATTCAACCTCACTAGTAGGTGGTAATCGATTTAATCTGACCCTCATATTAGCATCAGATAACCAGCAGGTGATGAGGAATGGTTGCCCTCCTTTCTGTGTGGGAATCAGCTTTCTCACTGGCACAGTCCTCACATTTCACAGTTCTTTAATACACTCCCTGCATTGTTCTCTTGACGTTCCCCCAAGGATGCTCACAAATTGCCAGTGAGAGTAGAAGTTGGTACAACTTAAATGAATAGAAATTTAACAATACCTGCCAAATTCCAGTGAATATATCCTTTAACCAGTAGTTTACTACTAGTAATTTACTTTTATGCTCATGTATTCTCCAAACAAGATTAGAACAAGGTTATTTGTTGAATCATTGTTTAGAATGGTGAAATATTAGAGACAGTCTATTCGCAAAATAGAACTGGCTTCAAAAAGGATATAGCATACAACAGAAAACTGTCACTATACAGAAAATGATGTGAAAGCTTGAATGAATTATATGGAGAAATTTTAAAATACCTTATTAACAGTAAGGTACAGAACAGTGGCTGTGGTATGCTGCCATTTGGATTGGATATGAATGTGTATTTGCTGCTATATGAATAAAATATCTCAGGAAAAAAATACACAAACCCCCCCAAAAATGCTGTTTGCCTTTGAGAGCAGACTTTGATTCATGGGTAAGGGAAATAACAAAGCTAACAGTCACAGAATACCTGATCATACCATATGATTACATTTCTCATTTGCAAGAATAAATTTCCTCCTGAACCCTCTGACATTTGCATTTTTGGTACAGCATATGCCTACAGTGGTCAGTAAGGAGTTATGCTTTGCCAAATTTAATAGCTTTTATTTTAGGATTAAGAGGGGTTTTAATGAGTCATCAGCAACAGTCTGGGCCTTGAAAGTGTTTCCCTTGTTAAGTTGCACAGATTTAGATTTTGGCCTTAAATCATTCATGTCTTCAGCTTCCCTGAAATCAAGAATATCCTGTGTCATATCAATTAAAGTAAATGTACTTTCAATTAAAGGTGTAAGTATGAGTCTGAAAAGATTAATTCTTTATAAAAGGATGACCTTCAGTGGTTGGATCCAATTAGGCATTTTTCCAAGTATATTTCATCTTGATGAGACAAGTCTACTACTCACAATCAATCACAGTGATATTTCAAAGGTGAGGCTTTAGGTTCAGAGTCATAAAAGAGTGGCTTGCTGAAGCAAACTCCACAGTCGATGTGAGTGAGGATTATGAAGGTTGGTTATTGCTTTGTGGTATTCATATTTAAAGTATCAGAATGCACATAGTGATATTCTGAGTGCAGCTCTTATGCTTCTTTTACCATGGCCTTGGTAGAGCAAACTAAGTTAAATGATGATGAGTTAGATGATGAGAAAGGAACAAAGACACTATTCGTACTGAACTGAATGCTTTTGTGGTTTCTTTTCTCCTAAGTAATTTTATTAAATACATTGCTAGGGCTTCCTTTCCTAGCGATCATCTTTTCTTTTGGGGTACTTTAGTGCTAATTTAGCTATTGCTGATATGCAGCATGCAGAACTAAGAGTATTTAAGAAATGAATGCTTGCTGATTGTTTTTATGATTACATGCAAAATCTTGAAGAAGTTTGCTCACTTTTAAAAATGAAAGGTATTGGGGGCTGGAGAGATGGCTTAGCGGTTAAGAGCACTGGCTACTCTTGCAGAAGACCTAGGTTCGGTTCCCAGCACCCACATGGCTGCTACCAACTGTCCGTAACTCCAGTTCCAGGGGATCTAATTCCCTCTTCTGACCTCTGCTGGCACTGCACTACACAAGTGCACTTACATGCAGGCAATACACTTAAACATATAAAATAAAATAATAACTAAAATACTAAAAATGAAAAAATTGAGCATTCCTGTTTATATTAGGTAGTTCTAATATAGAATTGTTAGTTCCCATTCTATCACTCATTAAATGTATAACTTGGAAGATCCTGAATGTAGTCACCTAAGATGGGGGAGGGTAGTGGGCACAGAGAGCAAAATAATGAAAAGCAAGCAATGCTTCTTTGTAAATCTCAAAGGCTGGCTGTTGGAATCAAATGAAGAAATATGTGTCTCCCATCTACACAGAAATCTGAAGATGCCTAATTCCCTTATATGTTGCAATTATTTTCTATAACAGCCTCCCACATACTTTAAATTATCTCTGTTACGTAGGGGATACCTTTCATAGAGTGTAAATGGTATATAAGTACTGACTATATTGTTTATAGAATGATGACCAGAAAAATGTACATATTCAGTACAGGCTCACTTTTCACTTTTAGCAATTTTGACCCCCAGTTAATTGGTTTTGAGGATGCAGACCTGCAGATACAGAGGGCAAATGTTACTTGACACATTGTTCACTCATCCTGGGATTTCTCAGAACTGCTGAGGGAGCCTATGGGTGAAAAGTATTTTAAAATATGAATAAATTATTAACTTTTTCACTCATTTTTTTCACACAGCATTAGTGGATTTTTTTCTTCCATGACACGTTATGTTGCAGTGGATCACAGAAGCAACTATAAATATTCAGCTCTCTGAAGCTAAATGCTACAGAGGCTTACCAAAACACAAAATTATGCAGTCTGACCATGGATTTATTTTTCTTTTGGAGAAAAAGTAACATTTATTTCTGTGCTAGAGATCAGCCAGGATCACATACAAATGAGGCAAGCACTCTACCAGCAGAGCTGCACCCTCAGCTTGAAAGTAATTTTTTATTAAATAGTTACATTAACATGAGAAAAGTTATTTTACTTTCAAATAAATTCGTGAATTTTTACTGGTTCTAAATTCTAATATCATAAACTGATTATAAGATTTTTTTCTCTGAACACTCTATAGTTATTTACAAAGCCATATATCGATTGTGCCTCTACTTCTTGGGGTGAAGATTACAATTTTCACAGTTGACAGATTCCCCCACAAGATGCTAACAGAAGCACAGCTGTAGGAATTTAGTCCCTAGAGGAGTAGTGATAAAACCCAGGATGGGAAGCCTGAGGGCAGATGCAGATTTCTAGGTACAGGACTCCACTCCCTGAATTTGAGTTCTTGCCCCATTGTTTCTACCCCTGTTGCTTGTGGATTGGTATTAGAAGTGTGTTGTCTTTTCTAGACTTTGAGAAGGGCTTTCTCTTAGTGCACACCAGATCTTTTTCATCTTTCTGGCTTCCTTGTATTTAGTGTGATAGGGATTTGGTTGTCCAAAAAGCAAGGGAATAGTTATAGACTAAAAGGGGCTAGAAACCAGGAGACTTCACACAGAGTTGTAGAGAATTAAAGTTGGGGAACTAAGTGCTTCTGCTTAGTCTTAAATAGCAGCAACAGGAGTATGTTCAGGAAAACACACTTGGACGTCTCTGTTTATGCCTTGCACATTCTGGGCACTGAACTAACAGTTGAATTCTTATTGAAATGGCTGGTTTTCTAAGCCAGTTTCTTAGGGTGTTCTTATTGACTTTATTTAACTTACTTTTATTCAGCTTATTAACTTTTAATAGTTTATACATGCTGCTCCTTAGTATCATTAGTTGTAATTCATATGAATTGAAAACGTATCTTGGATTTCTATGTTTTTCATTGTTCAGTTATTTATTTATTTATTATTTATCTGTCTTTTTGAGACTGGGTCTCTCTGTAGCAACAGCTGGCCTGGAACTTACTATGTAGACCAGGCTGGCCTTGATCTCACAGAAATCTGCATGCCTCTACCTCCCAAGTGCTGGGATTAAAGGTATGTACTACCATATATAACAGTTTTATGTATATTAAATAAAAATTACATATTCAGTGGGAAATTTTGCAACACTCAGAGGTATCTGAATTTAGAAGTCTTTTAAGTATAAAATGTATACCTTTTGTTGTTTTGTGTGACTTGATGTGTAGTTCTGTCTTGAATTCATAACAGAGACTATCTTCTTTGATTGCTTTACTTAAAATTTTAATGAAATACTACATCTGGGAAAAATATGAAAAAATGTGTAATATACTACTTATTTTTAACTAAAGGCTTCTAAAAATTTATATTCTGAAAGTAGATTTATGCTTACTGATTTAGTACCGATTTTGTAAAATGAACACTTTGTTTTTGGAATTTTCCATTATTAGCATGTCCATATAAGGTAAATTTCATCAAATAATCAAATTGATTCACTTACTCTTGTTATAACTAACTCTTCCCTTCAAGGAAATATTTGGAGATAACCCAAAACTGTAAAACACAGTCCCTGTGTTAGTGGCATCTTGTAAAATTTAGAAGTCATTCTGTCTCATTAGATTTTAATGTGCTATATGTTTTGTATTTCAGAAACTCCAGAAAAGAGCTTAATGACATAAGATTTGAGTTTACCCCAGGAAGAGGTAAGTTTGAAATGAAATCATTATTTCTGTGTAACAAGAAAAATTGAGAAATTGATTATAAGCATGTGGTTATACTTTGTTATTCAGAAATGCCTTTTCTAAACCAAGGCAGGAAGAAAGCACTTTTGTTAGTCATAAGGATTCTAAAGCACTGCTGACTACATGAATCCCTATGGCACACGTGGCATGATGTACATACACATATAAATTAGATATATTAGCTCACCAGTGAAAATATGCACTGGCCTGATAATGGAGGGTTTAATGGAAATTGCACCAGTGTACTGAGAAGCATCAGTAGTCCTAGTGAGGACTGAGCAGTAAATGGTAGTATCTCCCCAAAGGTAGCAAGCTTTGCCTTTCTTACAGCCACATGTAAGTTGAATATTTTAAACTAAGTTATTGCTGCTGATAAAGATTAGACTGACTGTTGCTTCAGACCCTGCATGCCAGAAGACAGGACTATGTATTGTATTGTTTTATTACATCTGTTTTTCTCTTTAAAATTTTATTTATTTTTATTTTATGTGTATGAGAGTTTCGCCTGTATGTATGTAAGTACACCCATGTCATACAGTGCCAGTGGGGGCCAGAAGATGGCATTGGATCCCTGGAACTGGAGTTATAAATGGTTGTTAGCTGCCATGTGGGTGCTGGGAACTAAACCTGGGTCTTCTGCAAGAGCAGCTAGTGCTGTTAACAACTAAGCCAACTCTCCAGCCCCCTTTATGTACATCGTATACCAGGCAGAGAGCCTGACATACAGCAGGACATCAGGAACTCTTGCTTAAGTAGTAGATAAATAACATTTATAAACAGTTTTCAGAGATCACAGACTCAAGGACAAATACTATCTTATTATTTACTTTAAAATAAAATTCTCTAAAGAAGTAAAACTCTGATACTAATGCTAATTTTGTAACTGTATGTAAGTATGACCTTTGTTTTCTGATTTTATGTCCATGCAAATAGTTTCTTCAAGGTCTACCTTGAATACCTTTGTAAAATACAGTACTGTCATACATTCTAGATTATTAAAGTATGTAAGCTAATAGCTCTGTATTCATTATATATTAGCATTCTATATACATTTCAGCTGCATTGAGTGCATTGTATTCAACTAAACTTTTGAAAACGTGAAGTACAAGGAAGGACACTCTATCCTGACAGATAGTCAGGCAGTAAACTGCCTGATCTTTCTACTATTATCCCCTGTAAGAAGATACTGGTTCAACGGCCTTGAGGAGCCAGTTCAAGAACTTGGTGTGTCCTGTCTAAATACATTCATGTTCAGTTTATTTTTAAGTGCTTATAGCCAAAAAAAAAAAAAAAAAAAAAAAAAAAAAAAGCTACTACAGCACATGTATGTGTTCATAGATTCACTCTGATTCTGATTTCTAGTCCTCCATAGAGGCCAAGAGCTGATGATTCCCAGAATATTTGGATTTAACCAAAATAAGAAGTATCTTTTGCAAAATAGATGTCATAAGTTTGCTTACCAATGTTTCTTTCCAAGCATATGCATCTTTAACAGTTTCAGATTAGTCTGAAACTGTTGGTACAGTACCAGTCAGGGTTATCAAAAAACCATGTAGTTTGTCATAATATAAGAATATTGACCAGGTAATTTTGTAAGATTTGGTAATTATATAATAGATGTTTCAGGTATAGTAAGTACAAAGCAGATTCTTATTTTAAGGTTGCTTCTTTTCATCAGGTTGTTTAAAGTTGACTGTAGTAAGGAAAATCTATTTTAATTTTAAGAGCTAACAAAAAAATATATTTCCAACATATTCACAATATATTGTGAGGTAAGATGGCCCTTTCAGCATCACTGGCCCATTTGCACTGGCTTTGGCAGCCTCACTCTTCAGGGATAGATGAGAGAATCTGGTTTTATTGCTGAGGTGAAAACCATAGGGGTGACTTGGCAGTAATTGTGACCTTTATTGGACAGCAAGCACAGATCTGTTAGGACTCGATGCACGGTATGTGTATCACTCACTACACATCTGTAACTGCTTGTGCTGCCTGTACTTTAGACTTTATCTAAATTGCCTGTGATGCATTTGTGCATGTGCAGCACATGTATACTACATTTATGCCAAATATAAACAATGAATAAGTATGTATGGCAAAATATGTAACATAGATACCTAAAATATTCTCTGTCCTCTTTTGTAAACAGATCCTTGTGTTTATTATGTTGCTGTATTTTCTGGAAATCAGATATTAACATATGATTATTTAGCCTGGTTTCAATACAGGAATGCTAAACAGCTTAAAATAATAATAGATTACTAATGAAACATGAAATAGTCATTTTATATTTCTGATCTAAACTATTACTGGTATCTTACATGCATAGAAGTTGACTGCTTGATGGTACACACAAACAGAATACTTCCTATTTTGTCCATATGGCAGTCACCATTTGCCATTTTGATATGATTCATCTGGTGTCCTGAAAATAGAAGAACACTTTAATCATTAGGGATGGCAATCACTGTGACTGAATTAGTACTAGCCCTCTGTATTAGCTACTTCTCTGTGACTGTGAGAAAATACCATGACCAATGCAACTTATAGAAGGAAGAGTTTATTTGAGTTTTGGTTCCAGAGGGATAAGAGTCCATCATGGTGGGGAAGGCATAGCCATAGGAAAATGAAAGCTTATATCCTCAAGCACACACACAGAGCAGAGAGCAAACAGGAAGTGTCATGAGGCTATGAACTCTCAAAGCCTGCCCCCAGTGACGTACTTCCTCCAGCAAGGATCACCTCCTAAACCTGTGCACATAGTGCCCCCAACCGGAGACAAGGTGTTCAAATGTGTGAGTCTTTGGGGACATTTCTCATTCAGATCACCACACTATCAATTGTGGCTTTATTTTATTTGTCCATTTTCAATTAAATTCTGACATTTTAACTCCTATTGACATGTAAGGTCTTACATTTTAGAAATGGGATAAACACAGAAATATTTTACTGTGGATCAGTCACTGAAAGCAAAAATGACTGTGTACTGCAAGCTTATCTACCAGGTGATGTGTGTTTCCATTTCTGAAGATTTGGTTGATATCCAGGAAGATGCTGATTCTCAGGCTTAGGAGCTTCAGATAAAGAAGTCACAGTCATAATAGAGCATTTCATTATACTCCTCTCTGTTCTATAATATGGGATCATGCCATAAAAGACTTTTATAAGGGGAGGAGAGATGGCCCAGTGTTAAGAGCATTGGCTGCTCTTGCAGAGGACCTGGTTTCAGTTCCCAGCACCTACATGGTGGCTAACAACTATCCATAACTCCAGTTTCAGGGAATCCAATGCCCTTTCTGACTTCCGTGGGCATTGCATGCACATGGCACACTTACATACACAGAATCAAAGCACTGATATGCATAGAAATAAAAATAAATATATTTTTAAAATACTTTTATAAAGGTTTTTAAGAAACTTTTAACAAAAGGAAAAGGCCTACAACAAGCTCACCTTGTGTGAAATTTCACTGTTCAGTAAAATTTCTATATCTTTGCAGTCTGTTTCATTTTATTGAATTCCATTATGAAATGGAATCAGTAAATAGCATAATCTCAGGAAGAGTAAAGAATGTACATTGGTCTCTGTTTTTTGGCAATTTTGAGATTAAGCAAGGGAGAGAGAGTGCATGAGGGAGTAAGATGAATGCTGGATGATCTTGGACTGTGGGGTCATCATCACTATTCACACCTAACTGTGTTCTTTCTCAGTGTCAGACATGGGCCTGAACACTTTACAGCCTACAAATTATGAAAGTCAGAGCACACATGCACATTTTTATGTGTATCACACATACACTGTGAGATCATTTACATAATCACCGTATCCAGTTTGTGTGAGGGTAGATTCCAACATACAAAACTGCAATTCCATTTAGATGCTTGTTTGATGCAGCACCTATACTTCCAGGTGTCTCTGACTTTGGAAAACACTTATGCCAAATCCTCACTAGATATTTACATGCTGTTCATAGCCATCTACACTTCTGAATATTTGTGAGAACATCAGAAGGCTGTGCAGACCAAGTCATGTTCTTTATAAAACATAGGGTTCTGTAATAGTTCTTTTGAAGGTATTGCCATTTCTCAATTCCTCTTTGCAGAATCTTCCAATAAGATCGCAGTATTATCATGCTTATTCATAACCTCTCAATTAAGCAATTTCAGCCACATTCACGTGCTTCAGCCTTTATGAGATTGTCAATTCCTGTCACTTATCATTGAGAAAGTACATTATTTTACTCAGCCACATTTTCTGTTGCTATCAAATAATCAATGTCATGTTAAAGGAGTTTCTTAATAGCATACATTTAAATAGCACATTTTAATAGTTCAACAAGCCCACAGGCTGTTGATACCGAGAATAAAGTTGTATCAGATGCTACCCATTCAACCTTTGCTATAAATCCTGACTCAGTAGCTACAAACGATAGAAACCTTGCCAAGAAAGAAAAGCAAAGTCACAGGGAACACTCATCTTCCAAAGGTGTACTTGAGTATTAATTCAGATGGTGGCCAGAGGCAAACGTCTTTTCATTCACCAAAAGTGAAATAAATATTTTCATAACATCTCTTGAATAGAAAGTAAGATATAAATTGCTTATGAGAAAATGTATTTCATGTTTCTGATGTTTTTCTCCTGATAGAACCTGAATTGTTGAATCAAAACTCATGTGGATGATTTTAATAAATGAAAAATGTATTTTTTATGTTGTGCTGCGTTGTTGGTTTTTATTTTGTGGTTACTAATACATATTCATCTCACATTTGGACAGATACAGCAGATGGTGTGTCTCAGGAGCTCTTCTCTGCTGGCTTGGTTGACGGTCATGATGTAGTTATAGGTAAATTGATTTTTAGTATGCAGTATCATTTTGTTGATATATCACATGGAAACGTGTCGAGAAGCAAAAATTTTCATTAAGGAATAATTCACTCTGAATTTGAAAAAAGAATGTTCACAAATTATCCTTTACATGAATATACATTAAGACTCATTTAATTTTCTTCAAAAGCTCTTCATAGAATTCCCTCCCCTTCTTCTGAACATGGTTTATGCAATGAGGAGCCACCCCTTTGGGAAATTTCACACAGAATGGATCATACAATAGTTTTCTTTTAAGAGTGGAAGGGGCCTTAAAGATCATTCAGAGCAGCTTGTTTGTTGTACAGGTAAGGAAACAAATTCTTAACAGAGTTCAGTTTCTCCAGAGCCATGTAGCTGAGTTGTGGTAGAGTCCTGTCACTTTGAAACCTGGGTCTTGCTACCAGTCAAACTATTTTTTTTTAATCAAGATAGCTCCTTGGAGACCAAGAAGCTCATCTAGGCATGTTGATGGAACAAGCAATAACAGGTAGATCTGACAGCGCTCGGGAGGTGGGAAAGGTCTGGGGCAGATAGTATCATCTGTGAAAGCCTGGAGTGGCTGCTTCTGCCAAGGTCAACAGTTTGCCCCTCAGCAAAGGATGAGTCTGTAAAGATTTTATATGGTCTATTACTATGTATTCATAATAGTGACTCAGTGATAAAGCTACTTAATATTTGAATAACTAAACATTGCATTCATTCCAATAACATTAATGAGAATGTGTTCATATAAAACTTTCTTCAGAAATCTTCAAACCAAAGTAATGTTTAAAATTACATGCTTTCTTTAAATGATATGTGTTAGCTTTTAAAAATTCAGTTATTCAAAATAAGTCCTTCCTTAGTAGTGCTGGAATGTGTGACTGAGAGGGAATTTGAAGTAGATTCATACATCTATTGAAATTTGTTTCTAAAATCTTAGTAATACAAATTACTGTAAAGTAAATCTCTATGTGTATTTAAATGAGAATGTGCACTGGTTTTCTAATGGAAGAGTTCTGACAATCAATATCACTGTAATATATATACAAATAATATATCATAAACACAAGGACATCTTTATAACTAGGAAAAAATAGGTTATTTTGTATTAATTGTACATAAAGTGTAAATGAGAATCCTCGCCCCTCTGTCAGGTGGTGCATACAGAGACATGATGTATTCTAAATGAAATTGAGGTACATGCATGCATATTTCATCTTTATCCTTCAAACTTTCAATCATCCTGTGACTTATCATAGCCAGCTGAGTTCTTACCTGTTATCTGATCAAGTGTAAGATAAAATGATAACCCAACTTTAGTGTCGTTTAAAAAAATTTCACCTCAGGGCTGGAGAGATGGCTCAGCAGTTAAGAACACTGACTGTTCTTGCAGAAGACCCGGGTTCGAATCCCAGCACTCACATGGCAACTAACAACTGTCTGTAACTCCAGTTCCAGGGGATCCAACAGCCTCTGTTGTCTTCCACGGGCATTGCACGACACGGGTGCACATACCTACATGCAGGCAGTACACACATACACATAAAATAAAAATAATAAATAAAATATTTTTAAAAAATTACCTCAGACTTCTTTCTCTTCATCCTCCAGTTCCCTGACTAGAACCAAAATAAGCACACACCTTTCTTTCTTAGTTCACCCTAAAGAAATAGTGAAAATAGTTAATGCCAAAATCAGGATATACTGAAAGATAATTTTCCTTAATGAGTACTGTACTCCATGTGTTAAGCAGACAGACCTTTAAAAATAATTGGTCAAGTGAAAATAAAACTTAAAATTCTCCTTTAACTACCTACTAATGTCGCCTATTAGGAAAGAAATCAAGAACCAAACTGTCTGGGTTTGGGAAAGTTTCTTCTATCTTTGTTTTTGGTACAAGGCATACAGCTGAAGCTCATCTTGAACTTGCTACCTCTGTCTCTCAGGTACTGAGAATTCAGGTGTGTGCCACCATACCCAGCTCAAGTTGTCTTAGTTTGGATTGAATGTGACAGACAGGTGGCTGTGAATGTGACAGATAAGAGATTGCTTGTGGGGTTAGCTCCTGCGTGTTTGAAGCGCCATCTTTCCACAGGCCTGCAGTCAGAATTAGCGGGGTTTTGTTTCCCATGCCCATCTGAATCTAAAATACAGAATTCTTTTTTGTCACTGCTTCTTGTTTTGGCCATTGTGCCTTGTCTGTGATGGATTCCCATATAGCCCATGCTAACCTCAAACTTGCTGTGTGGCCCCAAGACTGGACTGAACCCTGACAAAATTTTTGTTGTTGTTGAGTTTTTAAAAGAAAGAAACAAGAAATGCAGAGTTCATGTATAACTTATTAAAATGTGTTTTAAGTACCATATATGACCAGAAAGCTTCTATTGTTCTGAGCACTAATCTTTCTAGAAAAAATCATTTGGCCTTGTTTGCCATTGTCCAACCTAGAGTATTTCTATATGTAGGACATGGCAGTTTGAAAAAAAAAAAAAAAAAAGATACTCTTCCTCATTTAGCAAATGTAAAATTGCCTTACGTGGGCATCAGATGTAAGGCTTTACAGATGGTATGCACACCTTTCATTTGATGGTCACATCAGTTCTGAGAGGTAAAGGGGGCAGGTTGTTGTTAATCACTATTTTACAGATGAAAACAGGTCAAATGAAGTGTCTGGGGTATTGCAACCTGTAGTCCTTGACTTTGGGTCTTTATGACACTGAGTCCAGAGTTTGTCCTTGGCCCTGCCATTCTGGATGGAATTTATCTAATATCTTCAGCCTCAGAAAGTAGTGATTCCTGTGTGTCCTGGAAAAAATAGGTTTCCCTCATTCGTTTTTGCTCAGAGTAGTAGATGTTATTTTCTATTTTAAATGCTGATCATTTGACAGATAAAATGTTTTTACTCCTGTCCCCACTAACCAGTCTCAGCAGCTGTCCTCCCTCTCCCTTGTCATCGCTTCCCCTCTTTACCACGTATGATCCAGTAGTGTATTAGTGCTTTGATTTCTCACGTCTTAAAGAATTCCACCTACACCCTCCATCTTAATAGAGCTGTTTTTTCCAGCCTCTTAGAGCAAACTTTTTCAAAAATCATTCCTGCTTTCAGTTCCTTTCTTACCATGATTTCTTGAACACACTCCAGCTAGACTTGACCTTCCACTCCACTCAAGCTGTTATTTTGAAAGCTGCATGTGGAGAAGACAGGCTTCACAGGAGTAATGAAGATGCAATGTTGGGTACAGCAGGAATGCGGTGAACACCAACGAGTTAGAGGACCTGTGGTCTAAGGATGACTGTCATATTCCCAAGTCTAAGGTTAATTCTCTCTTCTTAATTGACCTGTCAGCAGCACTGGGCACAAATGGTAGGGCCTCCTGTTCATTTGGTGTTTATGACTCCACCCTCTTTTGGTCCTCCCAACTGACTGGGGTTTGAGTCTCAATCTTTTACTGCTTTTTCTTCATCTTCATCTCTCTGACCTGTATACCCTGTTGTGTGCAAATAATCCTTAAGCCTCTTCCTTTTCCATATTCACTTCCTCTCTGATCTGGCTACATGACATTCAATACCTTCTGTTCCTTAACTATTTGATCAAGCCTATCCATTGACTTCTAGACTTATCTATATTAAATATTTTATTTATTATTTTTATTTTATGTGTATGAGTGGATTGCCTGCATATATGTACATACACCTGTGGCTTACAGTGCCTTCAGAGGTCAGAAGAGGGTGTCAGATTCCCTGGAACTGGAGTTACGAATGGTTGTTGGCTGCCATGTGGGTGCCAGGAACCAAATCAGGGTCCTCTGCAGGAGCAGCCATAACCGTTGAGCCATCTCTCCAGCCCCTCTTATTTTTTTTAAGTGTGTTCACTTAGGAGGGCAATCAATATCTGAAATTTATCTGACAGCCTCCAAAATTCAGCCCTTGTGTCTCCTCACTTGCCCTGCATGCTGCTCTCTCAGGTAACTCCATCTCTGGGTACTTATGCCCGTATCCAAGAGATGACCTTGACTTTTCTTTCTCACGTATCCCATACTTCTACCCAATTGTAACTCAGTCCTAATCTGGCCATTGGTCACTATCCTTCTTCTCAGGTGTATTAGTTTTCTTGTTGCTGTGACAAAATACCCAACAAAAGCAACTTAAAGAAGGAAGAGTTTATTTTGGTTCACAGTGTGAGAGGGTACAGTCCCTCGTAGTGGGGAAGGTGTGGCAGAGTTCATGGCAGTTCAAGTTTATGGCTGAGATTCTTCACATCATGGGAGACTAGGAACTAGAGACCTCAGTGAAATCAAGGTCAGTGGTAGCCCTCTAGTCCTGCTGTACATCTGGCTTCTAGGCTCCGTAATCCACAAAGCTCAACAACTCCTTAAATAGCTAGGGGCCCAAGTTTTCAAACACATTAGCCTGTGGAGACCATTTCACACTCAAACTGTAACACTGTCCTATTTCAAGACCCTCTCATCTGTCAGATTATCACTTCTGTATCTTTACTGGTGTCCCAGCTTCTGTCCTGTCCTTGTCAGCCATAGATATACAGATAAAGTAAGTCAGAGATAAAAGGCCATGTGTGTGAAATACCCAGAGGAAGCAAATTCGTATATATAGAGAGGAGAGTAGTTGCCAGAGGTTAGGACACAGGGATAAGGAGGATGTTTATAATATGACAAATATTTTGGAATTAAAAGTAGTAATAGACATACAACCTCACAACTACAGTAAAAACCGCTGAATTGTGAACCTCAAATGAGTGAATTTTTTCATGTGAGTCACACCCCAAATGAAAAAATAGTGAGACTACATTAATATTTTTAATACTCTGTAATGGCTTTCTACCCACATGCCAGTGGCCTGCACTACATGTTGCTGTCACTTCACAGACTGCCTCTCTTCTCTCTGCCTTACTCAGATCTGTATCTAACCCCCAGTAATAGCAGCCTGTATTGCATTTTCTCCAGAATGCCCCTTCTCTAAGCACGGAGAGGCTTTCCC